TAACAATACAGATAGTACCAATATATAACTCAACAAATCAAAACCTACCCACATTTCTCACCCACACAAGACAGACATGGTTACGGAGGTGTGGAGGCCTCGCACTTATACACTCACCCACACAAATATACACACTGACACACATCATACTCACTCACTCCCTAATGAGCCAAATGATAACACACACCCACAGCAATACACATGCTTACACATATCATACTCACTCACTCCCTAAGAACCAAATAACACACACACAAACACTAAACAGAGACACATCCCCTCACCAGGTCCAATAAAACTGTCAAACTGACCAGAGAATTCAGAGCAGCATGTATCTATCCAGTTCTTATCTCAAATAACAACTTAAAAGAGACTGTTTGACCAACACAAGGATTGTTAAAAGATTCATGTTAAAAGATAAAAAATAAAAAAACAAATGAAAACTACAGACAAAAAGTTCATTTCTCCATCAAGACATTCATTTCTGTAGTTTACTGCTACCAGCAAGCAGAAATATTTCTCCTCCCGATGATGGCTATTCGAGGAATCTAAATGAAATAATAATAAAAAAAACGAAAGAATATTAATCTACAACCCAGTGTGTCTGAAGATTTTAATTTTTTAATATTTTTATTGTTCAAATATATATATATATATATATATATATATATATATATATATATTATAGGAGATTAAAACAAAAATATGTTAAGAATCGCTACACAATAGCTTCGTTTTTCGGCACTAAGTTGTGCCACTTCAGGCGATGGAGAGTAATTGGAGTAACTGGAGAGTAAACTATTATTTTCAATTTCAAAAGGAAAATAACCGCTCTTTTTTTGACGAGAAAACACAAGATCAGAATTAAAATGAGGCTTGTGGGTTTACCCTGGTTAACTCATCAGTTGACAGACCTATGCTAAATTCAAAGTTACATATTAGAGATGTCGGCATCAATCTAGCGCAGAAGTTTAAATACTGGGGAATGTTTGAATAGAGGAAAATGCGAGACCGAAATTCGAACACTCATTGGATTAGCGAAAGAAGTATCCCAAAAGCTTAGCAAAGAGTTGAGAAACAGAAAAATATCATTAGAAGCAAAGAAAAGGAGGGATGGATTATTATGCAATATTGATATTCTTATACGGCAGTGAATGCTGGACAATATTCCCACAGATGAGGGGAGAACTGGAGGAAATAGAAATGGGATTCTGCAGAAGGATACTGAGAATTCCATGGACGGAGCGAGTAAGCGACAAAGACGTTTTAAAGAAAATGGCAACTTATGTCACTTATGTTCGAAATCAGTAAAAAGCAAAGGAAAGAGGACTTGGAAAGTTTTACCCTTCTCGGGTACGTTGAAGGCAAGAGAGATGGGGAGGGCAGTGAGCCTGCTTCCTGGTGAACTTGTGAGAATGGATACCAGAACTATTAAAAGGAGAAAAACTGCTAAGATCTACAAGAGACTGGGAGTTGTGGAGAGCCATGATCATACATTGTTCATGATGATGGTCGTCTTTGAGTATAGAATCCAGAGATTAACAGTGAATATTTCCAAGACAGCAGGGAAGCGTAGTTCAGGTTAGCAGTGGATATCCCGGTAAAGTAGCAGAGCGTAGTTCTTCCTTCTGTTCCTCTTCACCTGACAAGCTGGTACTGGACATTCGGATAGAGTAAACAAAATGGCCGCCTTTATACACGACGGATTGAATATTCTACGTCTTCTGATTGGTTAACCTTCTATTGGTGGCCCATAAAATGAGTCAAGTCATTTGGACTGGCTCACTAGTACACAATATACACAAAAAAACTGAAACACCCCCTCATTTTTGGGTATATTATGGAATCTTCTTTCAAAATATTAGTTAAGTCAATATTAATATGGAACAAATACTTTAGTATTCAGAAATTTTTTTAATTTTTTTTTCTCGTTAAAGTCAATATTAAATTGTAACAAATAATTTAGTATTCCGAATTTTTTTTTTAGCATTGATAAAATAAATTTTCTTTTTCTTTTTTAAAGAAAATTAGTATCCACAAAAATAAGTCATATCATTTTGTTCACAGTTAAGTACTTCGGGTTAATAAACATTAACAACAATATTACAAATTTGTGTTGTGATCACAACAAAAAAAGTGGAAAAAAAAATTCGGAATACTAAATTATTTGTTACATATTAATATTGACTTTAAAGAGAAAAAAAATTTCTGAATACTAAAGTATTTGTTCCATATTAATATTGACTTTACTAATATTTTGAAGGAAGATTCCATAATATACCCCAAAATGAGGGGGTATTGCAGTTTTGGGGGTATTATGTACTAGTGAGTTAGCCCCCAAACTGCAACATATATGCCCTGAAAGGATGCAGCACATAAAAGAAGACGTGTCTGCAGACTGCTTATTTTAGTCAAATAGTCGTCGTCGGTTTTATCGCGTATCCAAGTATTTAATTTCTCTGTTAATTTCTTCATTTATGATGTTTAAATTCGCCGCCAACGTACAGGTTCAGCAATAGAAGCTTCCAATTTCACCAAAACCTGCTCTCGTCATCCATTCCCTATCGCCATTTAACTTTGCAAGAGTTGGTTGGAGGTGAGAGAAAATCAGAGTAAAGGAAGCCTCAATAGCAGGAATTTGTTTAAGGTGGGTCTCAACTTGCCAGGAAGTGACCCAAACATTTGATATCATGACCTTCCACGCAGAATCCAGTTATAAAAATTGCAACGGACTGCCGCTGACTTATAATTTCAAGTGGCGCCTTCTGTAGCATGTCCGTAATGCGTAGCCCTCTTTATCTGCTGGTTCAACCGTTGAGATCTGTTCTAATCATCATTCGCTTGTTCCACTGTTGGGATCTTTGGGATTGGTCGTGCTTAGTCTGGGTCCTCGTCTTCGACCTTGCTGAAAACGGCGGCCCTACCAGAAGTTTAGTATTTCCGACTGCGAGGCTGTCAGTGTCATTGAATGTCGCAAGCCCCTCCATCACGACAAAGAACGAGCATCAGAAGTACGGACATAGAAACATAGACGAATAAACACTAAATACTATAAGAGGAAAGTCATTATTATGAAATGAGACTAAATACGTAGATTCTATCTTGGGTTGTCAATTATTGCCTTCCATTTTGGTGAAACTTTTCGGAAAAACTTTGTATATACATCGGCAAAAAGAAAGAAATTCGGTGGAAAAGTAAATCAATACAAAAAAAAGCAAAGTGTTAATGAGAGAACACCAGACTTAAAAAAAAAGCATAATGTGTATAAAAACCGAGAGGGAGAGAGTGGGGATAGGAAAAAAGAGAAGGAGAGAGGGGGAAGGATGGGGAGGGGAAGAAAGGTGAGACAGAGGAGGATGGGAGAGAGAGAGAGAGAGAGAGGGGGATAAGAGAGAAAGGGAGAGAGGGGGAGGAGAGAAAAAAAGGAGAAAATGACTTGTAAAATTCTAGCATTAAAAATCAAACTGTATGTGAGAAATTTCCTTGATAAAGTCGACAACGAATTGTTGGCCGACATTAAAGACTGCGTGACAATTTTTGACCAGAATTGTAAATGATCTGAACACTGTTTGTCTCTCCCTTAATGCAAAAAAAAAAAGCTTCTTTTCTCCATTCCAGCCTTTAATGTTTCCTAGACACGATACACTTAAAAGACTTGTCTAATCGGCGCTTCTGTTTTCGTCAGCACAAGTCTCTGTTGTTTCAAATAACGACTCTGTGGAAGCAGCAACTCACGCCTCTGACGCGTACTATTTACCTGTTAACAATGATTTAGTTTACATGAGTTATTTCCCTTGGCTTGTATTATTTGTATGTCTCTATGGAACCGGGTAAGAGATGAAACGCTGTGCGGAATTAAACGTTTTTTTGCCACGATATCCACCTCATCGTTTATTTTGCCTTATGAGTGCCTTGGAAGTTAAACGGACACAGAATTGTTAAAAGCACAACAGTAAGACTGGAGGAAGGGAAGAGGAAGAATCGAAATGGTCCAAATCACTGGAATTCTATGGTTGGAAACAATATTGAGAAAGATGTTAAGAGACTGACTGGGTAGGAAAGGTCTTTAACTGGGAACTGTGCAAATGACTGTGTTTTGACCATACAGATCAGTTGCATACTAGAATGTGTTCTAGAGAGGAAAACATAAAATTCCCTAGAACTTGAGATCATTCCATGGCGTTCTATACTAAATGCTTACTAATGGAGCAATTATTGATCAAAACTGGAAGTCTATTTCAAAATTAAGAAAAGTTAAAAGATAAAAAGTATTCTTAATAAATGACTTTTTATTAACGTTTTTAGTATAAAATATTACATTTCCTTTTATTTTATCTTTTTAATAGTAACTAAAATTTAACATACTTTAAAAAATACGGTTTGTTTGTTTACCAGCGCATCAACTCATGGGAAATTTAATGCCGAAATTTACTTTTTTTGGAAGTATTAGTAATTTTATCTACAAAAATGTATTGCTGGTAATTTGTTTTTTTTCCAAAATGTATTGCTAGTACTTTTACTATGAAAATGTATTTTATACTTTCATAGTGTTTTGACTCAGGCTGGGGGGGGGATTTTACTATTTACCCATAGCTGGGACCCTAAGAAGTGCTACCACCCTGGGTTAGGGTGGATCTAGGAACAACAGCAATTAAGAGGTGGTTCCACACTCCTCAAAACCTCCGATGAGAGACCTTGCTGCCGGATGTAGTTTATCTTCATACCCAGGACGGTATTGTTTTTCGAATCAAATGATTTGTTTTTTTTTTTTACGGCGTATTAACCTTTTTTTAGGTTATATAAAGCCAGGAAATATTTTGACATTGTATGAATTTTTTGGAGATAATAATAATTTACTGATACAAATCCTACTAATTAACCCATAACTAGGGGGAGAAGAAGTGGATTCATACATTTCCTAAGGCTATTTGCAAGTGAATACAACGAACTGGAATTGGAACTCGGCTCTCCGATTAACATTTCCGTTACATCATCCAAGTTTACAGCACCTGGTATTCACAAGCGGTCACCCATCTATGACCAGGCTCGCTGTTGCTTAATTTCGGTGATCGTATGAGAACTGGTGTTTCAACGTGATATACCCGTAAGCAGGGCAATTTTGTCCAGCATCATAAAGCTGTTAATTGTATTAACAGTCATGCTTGGGATCGGGGTGTCAGTTCTGGTCTTCTTTTGCCGGGAACAGACTTCTCCGTTGCGGGGTTCCGATGCTACCCGTTCGTGTTGCCAGCCACACGTCGAGAATTAGTTAGGGGAAAAGCTGATCATTGAGATCGACATAACAGATGTGGTCCAAGTTGTTGTTCATGATGACGGTCGTCTTTGAGTATAGAATCAAGAGGTTAGAAGTGAATATTTCGAAGACAGTAGGGAAGCGTAGTTCAGGTTAGCAGTGGATATCCCGGTAAAGTAGCAGTGTAGTTCAGTAGTTCTTCCTTCTGTTCCTCTTCGCCTGACATGCTGGTACTGGACATTCGGATAGAGTAAACAAAATGGCCGCCTTTATACACGACGGATTGAATGTTCTACGTCTTCTGATTGGTTAACTTTCTATTGGTGGACTATAAAGTGAGTCAAGTCATTTGGGCTAACTCACTAGTACATATCTATACACAAAAAAACTGCAACGCAAGTGTCACCCACTTATCCATCAATACGAAGTCTTGAATAAAATGCCTAAATATAATATTGAAACAGTGTTCACATCCTCATTTCTCCACGTGGCGTTAGTTATCCAACTTATAACCTTGTGAACATGCAGCGAGCCCCTTCATAGGCTTCGGTGCACATCGACTTGAACGAGAACGGAACGCATCGTGGAGGAATCATTGGTCAGTGTGGTGGGAAGCTCGGGCGAGGGTCACGTTGTATGTTTGCACATATAATGTTTTATCTCCCGATACGCGTCCGTCTCTCGCACGTGCGTATCTCAGCCAGCCAGATAAACGCTTTACGTCAATTAAAACTCTGAAGACAAAGTCCTGTTCGTCGGCGGGTTTATTGAAAGTCAAAAGGGTGAAACGAGAAAAATAAATAAATACAATCTTGAGACTAGTTTAGTCCGAATAACAAAATAAATAAAAATAGAAAAAAGAATGGAAAAGTCCTCTTGAGGCCTGAATACTGAACATCCCTGTAAGACCGTGGGTCTAAATGAGTAAAGAAAGTGTCAAGTAGTTTGCTTACATAATTATTTACATTATTCGGACTGTTGTCCTCATCTTTATTGTCATATTCATGACGTTTCGGCCGTTGTACGCACGGTCTTCTTCAGGTGATATACTCAGGAATTTCGAACCGAAGACTTTATTTATTCCACTGGAGCAAACTGTTCTGGTTCCACGTGCCATACCTTTACTAGACATCTCAGTTACAGTTATTTCCCTTTAGTAACTCAACTCTCCAAGTTCTTGTCCAGCTCTGCTGTGGCCAGGGAGTGAACTAACAACTCTTTGCGTCAAGTCATTGGATTACTTCAATCAACGCTTTTATTCACTGGGCCATGCGTCATTAGAAAAGGCATGGAACGTGAAACGAGAACAATGTAACCCGGTGGATGAAATAAAGAGTTCAGTTCCAAATCCCAACGTATATCACCTGAAGAAGGTCGGAGCGTACAATGGCCTAAACGTCATGAATGTAACAACAAAGATGAGGAGAAGAAACCCGAACAATGTAAATAGTTATAATATTCATCTCAGAATTATGTTTGACAGTTTGCAATAATAAATCGACAGAAAGGAAGAAAGTTACATGAAATTAGGGTGTGAGGACAGCCAACACGTGGTGATAGGGATTCTACAAAAATAAATGTATACAAAGTGGCTACCTTAAACAAATGTTTAAATACTAATACAATATTAAAAGCGACCAATGCAGAGAGAAAAGAACATACGGGCGATTCTATTGTTTAGGGGGTAAATTTAGAAGGATAAAAAAGGGGAAACGCCTGTACTTTATTGTGTCGGTTCGTGCAATTACTAGGAACTAAAGAAGTAGTGGTCAAAAACAGTGACTAATCTAAAGTGTAACTAAATGAAAAAGGTTTTGGTTATTTTTGTTTAGCGGCATATAAAATATGGTTTATTTAATGCCGGAATTTAAATGTCGAAATTCAAACATAATTAATTTTAGAGAATGAAATTATTTCATCATTAAATTATAATTATTTAGCTATTATTTTAACTACTTGGTAATGTTCATTGTTTTAAAAAGCGATAATTAGAATTGTAATAAACCTTAAACATATGAAAGGGAATTTATACGCTTTTTTTTGTTCTTAAGAATTGACAATAAAATATTAAACACTATTTATTTATTAGATTGTTTATTTACAAGAATAATTTTATATTGACAACATTCTAAAATCTAATACAATTAAAACTAATGCAATGCAATATTTATCATTTACCAATTTATAAAGAAATAAATGGGAAAATTTTTATTCATAAATTTATAAACATTTACTAAATTATTAAAATATGTGAACCAATTAAAAGGAAATTCTTATTATTTACCATTTTCTAAAGTTCGAATCCGTTGGCAATTAGCCAATATTTTGTCAACCATTCAAATAAATAATCTAATAAATAAACAGTGCACTATTTACATTACTCGGACTATTGTCCACATCTTTGTTGCCATATTTACCACAACGTTTCGGCCGGAAGAAGGCCGGGGTGTACAACGGCCGAAACGTTGTGATAAATATGACAACAAAGATGACGAAAATAGTCCGAATAATATACACAGTGTACATAATACTTCGTCTCAGAAATATAGACAAATAAACAGTGTTTATTATTTTTGTTGTCAATTCTCAAGAACAAAGAAAATGTATAAATTCACTTTTATATATGTTTAGACTTTATTACAATTCTTTTAATCGTTTTTTAAACCAATAAACATTGCCGTGGGAGTGGAGGTAGTTAAAATAATAGTGGTGTCAAAAGAAAGGCCGTTTTTTTGACACTTCATTTTTTTGTAGACACAAAGAGTCAAGTATTCTAAAGATTTTATAAATTTCAACACAGTAATATTAACGTTTTGAAGGGAAGCAGACTACTTTTAGGTGAGCCATTACAAAGTGTAACGTGCGTCGAATGGTAGACTAATTACTTGACCCTAAACATGGCCATCTGGTATATTTTGCCTTTCGCATAACATCTGTTATAATCAACTTGAGCTGTACTTTTTGTTACGACCAATCGGATCATTTGGTATCTGTGATTTCTGTTACAAAAAAATTCTAGATTCGAGTATTTCTTATTTATAATATTAACGCCGAGAACTCTAGAAAACATGACATTTGCTAATCGTTAACTTGCAAAAGAGAAAAAATACGATGGTTAAAAGGCAAATGAGAGAGAGAGAGAGAGAGAGAGAGAGAGAGAGAGAGAGAGGAGAGAGGAAAATATATATAGAGAGGGGTAGAAAGAGAGACAGACAGAAAGTGAGAAAGAGAGGGAGATATATAGAGAGAGGTGGAAAGAAAGAGATAGAGGGTGGGGAAAATGCAGAGACAGAGAGAAGGAGAGATATATATAGAGGGGAGAGAGAAATCTAGAAAAGAAGATATTTGATAATAGTCAACTGGCAAGGAAATAGGAAAATACAGAGAGAGAAAGAGGGGTGGGGGGAGAGACATAGAGGAGCGAGAGGGATATATATAGAAAGAGACAGACTGAAATTGAGAAAGAGAGGGAGATGTATGTATGTATATAGAGAGAGAGATGGAGAGAAATAGAAAGAGATCGGCAGAAAGGAAGAGAGAGAAAGGGATATATATATATAGAGAGAAAGGATATATATATATATATAGAGAGAGAGAGAGAGAGGGAGAGAGAGAGAGGGAGAGGCAAAGATAGAGAGAGGGAGATAGAGAGGGTAGAGAGAAATCTAGAAAAGAAGACATTTGCTAATAACTTGCAAGGAAATAGGAATATATATATATATATATATATATATATATATATATATATATATATATATAGATAGATAGATAGATAGATTGAGAAAGAGAGGGAGATATATATATAGAGAGAGAGATGGAGAGAAATAGAAAGAGATATCGGCAGAAAGGGAGAGAGAGAAAGGGATATATATATATAGAGAGAGAGAGAAAGGGATATATATATATATATAGACAGAGAGAGAGAGAGAGGTAGAGAGAGAGAGAGGGAGAGGCAAAGATAGAGAGAGGGAGAGATAGAGAGAGAGAGAGGAGAGAAATCTAGAAAAGAAGACATTTGCTAATAACTTGCAAGGAAATAGGAAAATATAGAGATAGATAGATAGAGATAGCTAGATAGAGAAAGGGAGAGAGAGAGAGAGAAGAGATCGAGAGTGAGATAGAGGGTGAGAGAGAAAAAGATAGGGAGGTGGTGGGAGAGTGAGACAGAAAGGGAGGGAGAGAGAGTGGGAGAGAGGCAGAGAGAGAGAGATAGAGAGGGAGAGAGAGTGAGGGAGAGAGAGAGAGGTGGTGGGAAAGAGAGTGCTCTAGAAAACAACATTTGTGAATAGTTAAATTGCAAGAAAACTGGAAAATGCGATGGTTAAAATCCAAATGTGTGTGTGTGTGTGTGAGAGAGAGAGAGATAGAGAGATAGAGAGGAAGAAAGATAGAGAGGGAAATAGGGAAGAAGAGAGAATGAGAGCGAGAGAGAGAGAGAGAGAGTGAAAGAGAAAGCGAGAAAGAGAGAGAGACAGAGAGAGAGTGGGGAAGAAAGATAGAGAGGGAAATAGGGAAGGAGAGAGAACGAGAGCGAGGGAGAGTGAAAGAGAAAGAGAGAAAGAGAGTGAGGAAGAAAGATAGAGGGAAATAGGGAAGGAGAGAGAATGAGAGAGAGAGAGTGAAAGAGAAAGGCAGAAAGAGAGAGAGAGAGAGAGAGAGAGAGAAAGAGAGAGAGAGTGGGGAAGAGGGTATAAGAAAGGGAATAAAAAAAGCAACGAATGAATGAAAACTAAATAAGTACTTGAATCGATTAAAAGACCTAAACTGGATAGTTTTGAGATTTTGGTTCATAAAAAAAAAAAAATCGGAATAACATCTGTTGTTGTCCTGAGAGAATTTCTTAACGATTTCATTTTTCAAATCTTTCAATGATTTGCCATGTTTTATAAAACTGATGAAGATGAAAAAAAAAAAAAAAGGAAAAAAAAAGAAAAAAAGAAAAGAAAACAAAACAAAAAAAACAAACCTAGGACTTAAAGAAGCTGGAATCAACTATAAACAGTTTGCAAAAAAATATACTAAACGCAAACTAGCGACGAAAAATTATTATTATTATTATTATTATTATTATTATTATTTTCTTTCATTTCTGGTGTGTACTCATTTATTTCCGGGTCCCGACCAGAAACCTAAGGTTACAAATGGCATCATGACATTTTCCACTGAGCAATAAAAAAAAATCACATATTTTACATAGATAAAGCCCTTCGTAAGGTGTTGGCTGTACTCGTGAGAACAATTTTTTGTATTTCTTTAAGACATAGGCTACCAGGAATCCCTTCAATGAGTCTATTGGAATCTTTTCTAATCAATCTGAGGGATCCAACTACAACTGGAATTGTTAATGTTCTGATGTACCACATTTATTATTATTATCATCATCATTCGATTTCTGCTATGGACACACTACCTACCAAGTCTGCGGAAAGACCTAAGGCAGGTCGTGGTGTGTTGTTATGGCCACATTTCATGTTAATTTTTTTTTTTTTTTTTTTTTATCTCCGATGAAGTTGCTAGCGTTACATAGACAAAGTTCTCCTTAGTGTGTGTGCTGTACTTAATAAGACAATTTTCTGTATGTCTCTTAAGCTGGGGTTTCAGGGATTCTTTCAATGTGTTGTTTTGTTCCATTTTTTATAATTCCAAGTGCACCTATTACCACTGGTATTATTCTTGTTTTCAATTTCCACATTTTTTTCTATTTCAATTTCAGGTCTTTGTATTTTGATAGTTTTTCAAATTCCTTGGTTGCTATGTTACAATCCGCTGGACAAGCCATATCAATTAGTAGGCAAGTTTTTTTCTTTCTGGTTTTTGACAATAATGTCCGGCCTATTTGCTTCAATTTTTCTGTCTGTGTGGATGGTATAATCCCATAGAATGGTGACATCTTCTATTTCTGTAACCGGCGCTGGCCGATGTTCATACCAGTGTTTGCTTACACATTTTCCAAAGTGTTTGCACATTGTCCAGTGTAAGTATTGCCCCACTCTATCGTGACGATTTTTATATTCATTTGGGGCAAGTATAGAACATCCTGAGATTAGATGGTCTATTGTTTCTTGGTATTTGTCACAGAACCTGCATTTTGGATCCACATTATTATGTATGATATTTGCCTGAAAATTCCTAGTGAAAAGACTCTGGTCTTGCGCTGCAAGAATAAAGCCTTCAGTTTCAGACTTTAATCCAGATGCTCGTAACCATCGATGAGTATTAACTTTATCAACATTGGGTTTATTTGCACGTTCTGGATATTGGCCATGCAGAGGTTTGTCTTGCCAGCGTTGTTTCATCTGTTCAAGGGCTTTATCCTTGGCTTTCTTTTTCATATCTTTTGCTGCAATAGTTGGTTCTTGGCTTCTGTTTTGATTTACTACAGAATCTACTAAATGTAAATGTTGTTTGTATTTACTGCCTTCTTTTATTATTGAATATTTTTTCTTTCTGTTTTCATGTTGTTTCACTAATTTTATCATCCAGTCATTTGTTGTTTCCATGTAAGTTAGTAAGCCAATAGTTGTTGTCTTGTATGACAATTCTAGCTGAATAAGACCTCTTCCACCTTCTTTACGGGGTATGTATAGACGGTCTACATCAGCCTTTGGATGATGCATCTTATACTTAGAAAGAAGCTTTCTTGTTTTAGAATCCATTTGTCTGATGTCATTTAGAGTCCAGTTCAAGATGTTGAAACTATATTGGACCACTGGGATGGCTAGGTTATTAATGGCCATAATTCTGTTCTGAGAATTCAATTCAGTTTTTAATACCAGTCGTACCCTTATATAGTACTCTTTACGCACTATTTCTTTCATTTTCTTATGGTGAATTCCTTCACTCTCATTTACACCTAGGTACTTATAAGTTTCTCCTTGTTCTAAATCTTTTATTGTTACAGCAGGGTCTAAACTAATAGAGGAAGTTTGTTGTAGCGATCCTCGTAAAACTGTAGCTTTAGCACATTTATCCAAATTGAATTTCATTCCGATGTCTTCACTGAAGCATTTTACAGTTTGCAGAAGACCTTCCAGCTCATTGTCATTCCTAGCATACAATTTTAAGTCATCCATGTAAAATAGATGGTTTATTTTCTTTTGAGTTATTTTGTAACCGCATTCTGTCTTGTTGTTGGCTGGTTAATGCTATAAGTGATATGCAAAATAATAAAGGAGACAAAGAGTCACCTTGAAATATTCCTCTATTGATGTTTATTTCGCCAGACTTATAGGTTCCATTTTTATGATTGAGGTAAAGTGTAGTTTTCCATATCGACATACATTGTTTGATGAAATTGATGATAACGGGTGATACCTTGTACATACTTAAAGACTTTAAGATCCAGGAATGTGGTACACTATCGAATGCTTTACGATAATCTATCCAGGCAATACTAAGATTTTTTTTTTCACGGAAGCAGTTTTCCAGGATCATCCTATTAATAAGTAATTGGTCTTTACATCCGTAGCAGCCTCGTTTGCACCCTTTTTTGTTCAAGTGGTAGTATGTCATTTTCTTTCCAAGAAGAAATATGTCTGTTTTGTTAAAATAGATGTTAACAGTTTGTATGTTGTTGGAAGACATGTAATTGGTCTATAGTTTTCGGAATATTTGTGTCACTATTTTGGGTAGAAGAAAGGTAACTCCTTTGGTCATCCATGCAGGAATTTTAGTTGGATCGGTAACCATTTTTTGAAGTTCTTTATGATTATTATTATTATTATTATTATTATTATTATTATTATTATTATTATTTTCTCTGATTCCTGGCGTTTACACATTTCTTTCCGGGTCCCCAGGGACCTAAGGTTAGAAATGACACCATGACACTTTTCACTGACAAAAAAAAAAAAAAAAAAAATTACATAGATAAAGCCCTTCGTAAAGTGTGGGCTGTACTTGTCAGAACAATTTTTTGTATCTCCTTGAGACATGGACTTCCAGGAATCCCTTCAATTAGTCTACTGCAATCTTTTCCAACCAGTCCTAGGGCTCCAACTACAACAGGGATTGTTGATGTTCCCATATGCCACATTTTCGAGATTTCTATTTCAAGGTCCTTGTATTTTGACAACTTTTTGAATATCTTCAAAGATACATTGTATTCAGCAGGGACTGCCATATCAGTAAGGAGGCGCCGTTTTTGTTTGTGGTTTTTAATAACAATATCTGGGCGGTTGGTTTGAGTGTTCTGTCAGTGTGTATTGTGTAATCCCATAGAATTGTAACAGGTCCTATCTCCGTAACCGGGTCTGGGTGGTGTTCATACCATTTTCTTTCAGTTTCCTTCCCGTAGAAGTTGCAGATTTTCCAGTGCAGATATTGGCCCACTCTGTCATTATTATTATTATTATTATTATTATTATTATTATTATTATTATTATTATCTAGAAACAAAGAAAACAAAGAGTTTTTGCAAAAAAGGAAACTTAATTCGGATTTAGATTAATTTTCCGATTTTTGATCTTGTGAGCCGAATTAATTGTTGAGCTTCTAAGTTAATGACGTAATTAGAAAGGTAATTAGATAAGGAATCGAATAATTAGAAGCGCAATTAGATAGGATGAGAGTGGTCGGTACATGTAATATAAGTGACCGTGTCTGTCTCTCACACATTAGATTTTATAGCCACATAAAACACTGAGTGAGAGTCTCTTGTACATGCAACATCATGAACATGTCTGTCTCTCACACATTAGAATTTCCATGAAACATTGCCTAAGAGTCTGACTCTCGAGCATGCACATTGCAGTGACGACGAATTAGATCGGTGCATAAAACATGGCTTAATCCTATTTAAATTGTGTTAAAATGTTGGTTCGGGAATTTGGGAACATTGCAACTGTGAGTTCAATCCTTGGGCCAGGTAGTACAGTGGAAACAGAACAAACTATAACTGATCACTTGTACTTAAAAGAATAAACCAAGACTTCTCTTGGTATGGAACAAGAAAACCTGCTTCTATGAGATAAAAGGTTCGGATTGACAATATCTGGAGAAGGCCGGTTTAAATTATATAGATAATGATTCTATTTTAGGTTCTGATGTTAATAAATGTCCTGGAGCTAGTAATCATTTTTCCGTCTTCGAATCTTGCGTAATGATGCCATTATTTCTTGGCAGTGAGTATTTTGGTCAAAAATACAATCTTTGCCTTTCCTTCATTTATTTTATTTTATTTTATTTTTTTTTAAGCATTACGCCCCGAGCAAGGCGTGAAGCCACTAGGATGCAGGGGTTTGCAGAAGATTTGGAGCGAGAGCGGATAAGAGTGATAGAAGAAAGGATGAGGAGATGGATAGTGGATAGATCAAGGCAACAGGAGATGTCGATTGACATTACATTTGAATAGTTGGAGATTATAGCTCTCAGGGAAACAGTAATTGGGAAGGGTGTTCCACAGGCGAGAGGTGCGAGGTATGAAGCTATTGGAGTAGAAGAGACGGCTACATTTAAAAGTTTCTACAGTGAAAGGGTGAGAGCGGGATGCCAGCCTCGTAGGGCGCTTGAATTCATGAAATCTGGGAACCAGTAAAAGCAGCTCATCGGAGCAATTACCATGAAAGTATTTGTAAAAAAAGACAGAGAGAGGCGACGGCGCGTCTGTGAGAGAGCAACTGTAGACGAGATGCCAAATCAGGGCCAATTATATTACATACCCGTCTCTGGATCTTGTCAAGAACTCCGAGGTAAACAGAAGGTGCCCCAGACCATATATGGCAGCAATACTCCATGCAAGGGTGAATGGTTGATTTGTAGATCTGAAGTATCGATTCCGGGGAGAAAAATTT